GTTTTTTTTTTTTAGATAGTGTATATCAATATAATAAATGATTCAAAACTCTTTTCAAATATTGATGATGTGTTTGGTTCATGGTTTAGGATATCCCTATCTTCTTCTTCTTCTTCTTTTTATCATTTTAAATTTCTACTTAAATTTATAAATCAAACATAACATAAACTTGGGTACTTTACTTTTTCAAATTTTTTTATATATATTTTTTGAAAATTTTGAATTAATATTACTTTTTAAAGTTGTGTACTACAAAACTCTTATCACACATGTCTCTCCATATAATAATGATTGAAATTTATTTTAATTTCTATCTCAAATATTAGTGATAGAGTCAAAGAAATGTGTAGGTTTTATGGGAAATGGGGATGTTGCTGCGCGGGTTGCGCAGTGGCAACTGCAGTGTAGCAAAATGGGCCCATTAAGGGACTCATTTTGATAATTTGAGCCGTTCATATTTTAGAATACATCAAGTAGAACATGCCTGCAAAAAATCAAGTTAATCGGATATCGTTTATCTATTCATCCACTCACATTTCTATCTACAAAAATAAATAATAATTGTGATTTAAAGTATTAAATGAATACAAATGTGAGTGGATGAATAGGTAAACAATATCTGATTAACTTAATTTTTTGCAGGCATGTTCTACTTGATGTATTCTAAAATATGAACGATTCAAAATATCAAAATGAGCCCCGAAACGGGCCCATTTTGCCATACCCCGTGCAGCAGCATCTCAAATCCCCAATTGACCCAGCTGTAGTTTCAAGTATTTAATGGTTATTATTATTCATGTAACACTTGATTGGAAACCATATTTGATATTTAGTACATGATGTGCCACGTGATGATAAGTGCGTGAGTAATTTTTCGACCACACTGTCCGCCTAGTAATCAGCTGGAAAAACACTGGCAGAATAGATGGTTTCAGCTAACCTGTAACAGAAAGAAAAAGCTCCGGCGGTGGTTCTTCCACCCGGGGGCACTCCGACGATCTAGTCAGTATATCTCTCAAAGATAATCAAGTGCTAAATTTACTACTCAAAGCATAAAACTGCGTACCTTAGACCCACGGGGGTGCCTCTCTTTTATAGCCAATTCAATCCTAATCCCACCAGAAGCCTGACTTCTATGAATTCCTGTTCTGTACTTACTTTCGACTCCTCAAGAGATAAAGATAAACTCCCTAAGAGTTTTATCCTTATCTTGGCTAAGTCTCCACTTTACTCTAGGATTCTTGTCCCTTATTCCTTATCCGCTTATCTCGGATTCCGATATCCTCGGAGATAACCTCGGCCGTGCCGAGATAACCTCGGCGTCATAACCCGGACACGTGGCACTTTGGCTGACACGTCGGCGTCACCTTATCACGTGTTGGTATTCAGAAAATACATCCCCACAATAAGCTCTGCATTAATGGATGATTATCTATAGGAGATGTCATCTCTTCTATTCATGTTTTCTGGAGTCCTTTTTAGTTATTTGAATCGCTTATTTTGTAAATTTCATTACAAAAATAATTTATATAAAAAAGTATGTCCATTCAATAATTTATGCAATCCTATGTCTTCTCTGTTTTTTTTACTAAATATATAATCCTATCTTATGTCCATTCAATAATTATTTATTTTAAATAATGTTGGGTGACCAAAGTTCTGTCACTCCATGAGACAAAGATACTATACATAAAGAGTGCGTTTGTTTGGACGGACTGGATAAGGGGGGATTGTAATTCATTGGACTGTTAGTTCCGGGATACATTGTCCCCGAACTATTTGGTTGGACTGGATTTGTATCCTATGTTTGTTTAGTCATGGGATTAGATATCTGGATTGGACTATTTTTAATGAATCCAATGTTTGGTTAGACGGACTGGATAAGGATAAATGTTCAAAAGACTATTTTATCCTTATAATTTATAATTTTTATTTAATATATAATTTTAAATTAACAACACTAAAAAAATAATTTTAGAGAAATATGTAAATTTAATTTTTTAACAACACTAAAAAAAATTAATTTATAAGGCCATAATTTTTAATTTATTATTTTTAATTAAATTTAATTTATAATTTATAATTTAATTTTTTTATTTAATATATAATTTTAAATTAACAACACTAAAAAAATAATTTTAGAGAAATATGTAAATTTAATTTTTTAACAACACTAAAAAAAATTAATTTATAAGGCCATAATTTTTAATTTATTATTTTTAATTAAATTTAATTTATAATTTATAATTTAATTTTTTTATTTAATATATAATTTTAAATTAACAACACTAAAAAAATAATTTATAAATGTTCAAAAGACTATTTTATCCTTTCTAATTGTTTACTAAGTAATAGTATGGAGGGTAAAATGGACATTTCACCAAATAATCTCATGGGATACCAATTCCATGGTTTCTATCCCACACCCCCCATGGGATAGAATAGTCCCATATTTGTGGGACTACTAGTCTGGGGGGACTATTAGTCCGGAGCAAAATTTTGCAAACAAACAATGGACTATTAGTCCGGTGGGACTAATAGTCCAATCCCACACCCTTATCCCCCAAAACAAACATGCTCAAAGGATACTATGTATTTTATGAAGTATTTCAAAACAAAACAATACAAATGAATACGAAGAACATGTGGGATATCATCACCCCATGTGAGGGGTGATCCTCCATGTGTTGCAAGGTTGGCCATGTTAGGAAGCCAACACACATGAGCTGGCCATGTGAAGCCAACACACAAAATAGCTGGCCATGTGCTGGCCAGCCCCTCCATCCACCTCTTCTGTAGTGTATAAATGGAGGCTGAGGGGAGGGTTTGAGAGAGAGAGCAGAGCAAGCCACAGAGAGTGAGATATGTGAGGCGGAGAGGCCGTCTCTCTCGGTGTGAGCGAGGGAGACGGGTGAGTGGGTGAGTGAGGAGAGTGTGAGCTCCTCCTCTATTGTAATTTTTCTGTAATATCTCCATTGTTATAGTGATAACCGGCTACTCTCCCGTGGACGTAGGCATTGAGGCCGAACCACGTTAAATATTGTGTCTCCTTGAATGTGAGTGTGTTTTTCTGCTTGGTATAATTTCTATAAGGTCTTGGGCGGGATCCCAGATCTCAACAGAACATACCCATAAATATAATTATTGCTTTTAAAAACGAAGAACACACCAATCTTTCCACCATATAATTATTGCGGTTAAAAACGACGTTGGGTGAGCAAAGTTCTGTAACTCCATGTGACAAACGATACTATGCATAAAGGATACTATGTATTTTATGAAATATTTCAAAACAAAACAATACAAATGAATACGAAGAACACACCCATAAATATAATTATTGCTTTAAAAACAAAGAACACACCAATCTTTCCACTATATAATTATTGTTGTTAAAAACGACCACACCCATAAATATAGCAATTACTTCAGCCGTTGAACGAGAGGTTGGGGGAATTTATAATAAATGAATTGAGAAAGTGCTACCGGGTTATAATCTTTTGGACTCCATCAATACAATTGCAATCATCTGTTGGGTCTATCATTGTTTTAAAACTTGATAACTGTCAGGCACACATGCCAAAGAACGAGAAACCTTCAAAATCTTCAAGACGAATATGAATTCAATTCAGGTCAGTTTGATTGGGAGTTTGTGTGGAGGGATTGGATTATCAATTTGTAGAATCAAACTAATTTATGTTTGTATGCAACATGTCATGAGTTTAACAATCTCATGGGAGTATAAATTTCCTCCCATAGTGGGATTAGAATTTCTATGGGAGAGTTGGGATAGTTAATCCCCACACACAAATTATTGGCTAAAATAATATTTTGCCCTCCACTCTACAAAATCAATATAATTGTATTATATATGAGAGGGGTTTTTAGATAATTTTATAAATTTATTCATAAATAACTAATATCAGCTTACTAGTACACAAACAAACATATTTTTATCTTACATCTTTAATTTAATATTACCCCACTAATAATCTTTTCATCTAACTGATTCATCTTCCCTCAATACAAAGCATACTTACAACAAGAAAATCAATAAAGAAGCTTTCCTCTCTTTTTAGGTAATTCTGAATTTTTCGTTTATGGAGTTTAACTCAAGTTCAAGTTTCGTCATCATCATTCACTTTGCTACACTCTTCTTCATAGTTCACCTTCCTACAATTCTTTCTTATCTCACCCTTTGATCCAGTGAGGGGTTTAATGTCACCCATCTTAATCATTGCTGCAGCAAAATCAGAGTAGAAGGCTTCGGGATCTTTGCTATATATTTCAACGAGGGATTTGCTATATTTTTCAACGAGGGGATCAGTTGATCCATCGCCGTGTAACACTTGATCAGAGTAAAGGAGTCCCTTTTGAATGATCAGGTTCTTGTAGTAGTTATTGTCAAAATTTTTGAGACTTGATAATCTAAAGGAGCAAAATTGTTGCCCCCATAGCCAGTACTTGGGCAGTTTTCTTGCCTTCTCTTATAATGTCACCCATCTTAATCATTGCTGCAGCAAAATCAGAGTAGAAGGCTTCGGGATCTTTGCTATATATTTCAACGAGGGATTTGCTATATTTTTCAACGAGGGGATCAGTTGATCCATCGCCGTGCAACACTTGATCAGAGTGAAGGAGTCCCTTTTGAATGATCAGGTTCTTGTAGTAGTTGTTGTCAAAAATTTTGGGACTTTGATAATCTAGAGGAGCAAAATTGTTGCCCCTATAGCCAGTACTTGGACAGTTTTCTTGCCTTCTCTTAGCAAATGAACTGTTAATGTTGGTATCGTGATAGATGCGATCTTGGAAGACGACACACCTTGCTTGCCCTATTGTGTGGGATCCTGGTTCCAGAATGAAACTATTTAGATGGTGAAACATTGACATATATACTGTAACACTAACACTCCTCTCTTTTGTCCTATACACTCACATGGATTATGATCTAATTTTTAGTTAATTTTCAATTTACAAAATTTAGATCAATTCGTGTGATTGTGAGTAATGGTAGAAAGCAACAAACACTTCTTTTAAGAGAGAGAGAGAGAACCGGATAGGGCAACCATATCCTTGGTAGACAGTCCTACACGTTTGAATGTATGGATGAGTTCTTTGAGGTTAGAAGTAAAAGCTGGAAGTGCACTATCATTGGCAAGTGAAAAACTGGCTGTTTTAGAATCCCTACGTCCAAGTTTGACATCCCAAGTTGGCCCTCCAAGCTGCAACAAATTACATAAAAACAAAAATTAGAGGAATAACCAAAGACAACCAAATTATACATAATAATCTTGTAAACATGATTCTTGATACAGATGAATGGGTAGGGATGGAATCTATACTTACAATGACAGTAGAGTCACGAGCTGCGATAGTTGCAATATCAGCACATGAGACTACGCCAGGGCAAGCAGCCTCCACCTTGGACTTGATATAATCAATTACATTATATCCTCTAACGGATTTATAGTTGGGACCTGCAGTTTTCTCTCCTTTGAAAGATGAAGTGTCGTCAAGGAGTATTGACCCATCACAACCCTATAATCAAGCATGAGACAATTCCATAAGGTACAAGAAACCTCTATTAAAATATACTTTTTTGAACAAGAAGAAAATGCATATTTATATTCAACACAATGGGCGAATACTCAACGGAGGAGCTTCTAAATATGCTCACTAGATTTATGTTTATACCTATCACATTCATTATTTGGTAAATATGTTTAGAAGCTTCCATCCAATAGGGTCTTACCAATTTCAAACAGAGTAATCTAAACATTAAGGAGATGTAAAGCCTTATACCTATCAAAAAAAATTATGCACCCAAAAAAGTTCCCAAGTTAAGCATTTAAAAAATAGTGTACATCATGTATATTCAATTAAGGTGTGGTGTAGAGCAGATTTTATGAATCTAGTACACATGCATTTCTTAATGTATTTTTTTTAAGGTACATATCATTTCTGTATGTACCACATACATACTAACTAACAGAAAAAACTAGTTTAGCATGGAATATAAGTAAACAATTGGACTAATTCAGTTAATTTTAACCCTTGCATCTTATTAGGAGGTCAGAGATTCAACACTTGCAATAGATAAGAGATAAAGGTTCTTCAATCCCCCTTTCTCTAAGTTACAATATCTACTGGAAGAAGGAAAAAAATATTGTGTTACACGTAGCAAGCATGCTTATTTTCTACCCTATGTGTTAATCATGAAGAAGAATATATATACACCACTTCGATTCAGATATATACTTGTAATAAAAAAAAATGGCATCACTAATTTCTGTGAATAAACAACAATGAAGAAGAAGAAGAATTTACGTTGACAAAGCAATCATGGAAGTGGAGGCGAAGGAGAGAAGCACCCATGCGCTTTTCCTTTGACACTGCACATTTAACCGTTGATTTCACGATACTATGTAGATTTGGACAAGTCTTAGAGTAGAATTTAGTTGAGAGTTTAGCAGAGGAGGTTGTACTACCCATTAAGAGCACAAACAACATGAATGTGACATTAATCACCATTGAAGAAGAAGAAGAAGAAGAAGAAAAATATGATGATGCACAAGAAGCCATTTCTAAGTACAGTGAGAGAGAATGTGTTGAGAACATGCCACTTGCAGGATTATATACACTTACAAGGTTAGGTACAAAAGAATGTTGGTATTTTTTTTTTTATTAATAATATTAGAAAAATATATTAAATTAAATAATAATGACAAAAGAAACTTTTTTTTAATTAAATAATGAAATACAGAATAAACTACATGGAACATATTTCAAGACGGATTCACATAGATACACAAAATAATATACAAGAAATAGTTTAAATCTAAAAGTTTGAAGAATAAAAGATAAGAGACACAAATTGAAACATGTGTAACCACAATTTTCTTAAAACAGATTCACTATCTCTTGATGGGTGCTGGAGGTGCGCCGGCATCTGTTTCCCAGGATACGACAGTCAAAACCAACTAATGCAGAATCACCTTTTGAATAGATTCGGCAAACTTGATAATGACAGCACTCTCTCTTTAACAAGAACAAAAGAATGGGCTAGCAAAGAAGATAGGGAAAACAATCATCTCCAATTTTATTATGAGGACTGATTAATACCCCCTTAAAACTCCCACCCCCACCACCCCCACACACACGTGGGGGTTGGGGATTGGGAGAGAAGAAAAAAAAATGAAAAAATTGACCAATCAAAAGTAAAGGGGGTCGTGGGCGTGACCCCTAAAGGGGGTCCGAATCTTTTTTCTTTTATTATCTCAAAACGCCATCTCATTTCTCATCAAAGATCTCTTCAAAATTATTCTACTAAGTTAGAGAGGAAAATCTCTATTTATACTTATACGGAAGAACCTTAGCCATGAAATCTAACATCAATAGGATCATCAAATTGCCATTAGCCAAAGCCATCAAATTTAGCCATTAGAGTTAGAGTTACAAAGGTTAAAAACTCATGGTCACTAATATGGTTATCAACTCCATCAACGAAAGATGTGAGTTACGAAAGTTTAAAATTTTCATGTACTTAAAATATACAAATAAATATGTATATAATGATGTTTGAATAATTTTAACAGACGAGTCGCAAAATAGATACGGGTATTTTGTCACAATCGATCCAAACTCAGTCTAAAATATATACACAAGATAAGCCCAGCCCAAGATAGCACAACCTGACCCATGCCTTAGGCTAAGTCCAAGCATTCACATACACAAGCCTAAGCCAATGCAAGCCAAGACTAAAACTAAGTTCAAGTCCAAACCAAGGATCAAGCTCAACTTCTATTAATGCCCACTTTATGAGACAATTTTCATTTACAACCTAATGATTTCGACTCATTATTTATGTATTACAATAGTCTCACTTAAAAGAATACAAAACCATTCAGACTCACCTCAACCAATAGTTGGGTCCCACTTTAGTTTCGAATTAAAGTTGCCCGAAAAACCATTATTTTTCAACAAAGAATACATGTGCAAAAAGATGGACTATTAAGGCTATATTGTTTCATGGATTTAGAGAAAGATTTGAAAAAGGAAAGAGAAAAAATATGTGAAACCCTGATGAAATATAGTTGAAGTGTGCGAAAACTGGTCTGGATACCTGATTATCAAATATATATAGTTATATTTTATTTATATTTAACCAACTATTTTTCATTTTATTTTCAAATCTCACTCTAAATTTATGGATCAAATACTGCCTAAGAAATTTTTAAAACAAAGTGAATCACATTAACTTATGTTAAAATGTGAAAGAAATTCATTGAAGTACTATAAATTTGATATAATTATATTGAATTTCTATAAGATTTTAATTCACACAATATTTATTTTATTTTTCATTCATTAAATGGTGATTGCCATTCTTTTATATTAATATATTTTATCATATTTATTCATATGTCTACACATCATCTGTAATAGTTTTAGGTATTTTAATTTTACTAAAAGTGAAATCGATATAATTATAACAATTTGAGCAATTAATTTTAAAATTTTAGAAATAATTTTTTGATATTTATTTTCATCGAACTAATTGAAATAAAATTTGAAAAAACAAACAAACATAATAAATTTATGTGTCATTTGATCTAAAAATAATAATAAGTTAAAAACGAATTCATCAAGTCAATAGTGCAAATAAATTCACATAACGAAACGATGGCCACATATTTCTACATCAAAGGCTTCTAAAAAAAATAATAAATTAAAAATGAATTGATCAAGTCAACCGTGCAAATAAATTACATAGTAAATGAAACGATGGGCACATATTTCTACCTCATAGGCTCCATTTCTTTTAGAAACAAACAATGGTCATTAAAAAAAATATTGCAAACATTTAAGATTACTATTAAAGATTGTAAACAATTTTGGCTCTTTTTAATTGGAATCCTTAAAATCAGCTCAATTAACATTACTTAAAATCGACTAAGCTACTAAGATTCGTACTGTGACTAGCTGCAAAGAGATTGTAGTGCAGCTCTTTCTTTTGTGTTTCTGTTCTTTGTTTTGGTTGTTGTTATTGTGTGAAAAATCTAGAAATCTCCTAAATATTGATTTGTGATTATGTATCAATTTTAAGCAGCAAATAACAATCTCAATCAAACAATCAAGACAAATCGACATAACGATTTTACGTGAAAAAACCACAATTGGACAACTCCAATTGTGATAAAAAAATCACGGGCAACAGCCATAAAACAATCAACTAAGAAGATATAAAGGAATTACAGAGGTATACTCTCAATTACCTAGCGAATCCACGCCCGAATTGAACCAGCCTCTATGTGTCTCTTTCAACCCCGTCTTCATGTCGGAATTGTCTTGACGATGAGCCACTCCAGAATCCACCAAAGCTTCAGGCTCAAATTCTTCAGAATCCACCGAAGAACAATTCTCTCTTTTGTATAGAATGAACGGGCAAACCTTTGATGTATTCTTCTTAACCCATGAGTTGAATACTCAATTAAATATTAAAGAAAACTAGCAAAATACCCCCAGATATAAACCTTAATATCCAAAAAGTAAATCTGGAGCAGTAATCCTAAAATTTGACAGAAACACGTACTTATAGAAATCTGAATCGCGATGCTCGCTCGAGTGAAGACTCTCTTGCTTGAGCGAGGAACCAAAAACGCGTGTTTTCCATAAGTGGCTTCGCTCGAGCCAAACAACCTGCGCTCGAGCGTAAAATCATCATTTTCAGGTTTTTTGCTAGACGCAACCTTCGCTCGAGCAAGAACTCCTTCGCTCGAGCGAGCAAGGGCGGGCATGCAACTTCGAATGCAATTTTTCATTTTGCTTCGGGGGCAATGCCCCTCGACCCCGCCTGGGCGCTGCCCCGAACCCGCTAAGGGGCGCTACCCCCTGGACCCCTGCGAGCTGATCGAGCAGCTCGATCCCCGTCATAATCAGCGAAGTGGCAATCTTGAAAGCATTAACATCACAAACTTCTCTGCAAGGCACAATTTGGGTTGGATTCGCATCTAAATACTCATAGCCTCACTGAAATAAAATGTGCGAAAATAAGTACAACTAAAAGGAGTTTTGTCAAATGGGATTGCCAAGAATAAAACCTAACATTGTGGTTGGATTCTCTCCAACGGTGTGGTACTAGCAAATTGGACTTGTTAGTTGGTGTCAACCTAATTAGAACTGGCTACTATATTTTTGATACTTTTTGCACCTCTATCTTTATTGACGTGGGTCATTATAAGTGTATTGCTTGATTAGTATCAATAAAGATTTCTTTGGCCATTTCAAAATAAATAATACTTAAAATTAGAACAAAAATAACGCATTTTATGGTTGATTATAGGCCTCGTTTGTCAATAGGTGATTTTAGTTAAAAAATTACTATAAATTGTAATATCATTGTCTCTATTTTTTTACATGTATTTTTATAAAAAATAAATAAATAATTTATTAAAATAACTAATTTCCAAACAAACCTTAAAGTTTTAAAACTTTATAATTTTATAAGCTCAATTGAACAGATAATTATTACTCAGCTTGACTTAAGTGACTTGATGGGGGTTTCAAACTTGTCAGCCATAGCCCTATGTTCGATAGTTTGGAGGCAGAGTTTACAAAACTTGAAATCCTATCAGCTATCAAAGAGTGTGATGGCAACAAAGCTCCAAGACCAGATGACTTTAATTTATTTTATTTTCAGATGTTTTGGAAGCTTATTAAGGGTGATGTGGTTCAATTTATGAAGGATTTCCATAAAAATGGAAGTCTGGTAAAAGGCATCAATAGCTCTTTCATAACATTCATTCCGAAAAAGGAGAACTCTATGGAACTAGTAGATTTTAGACCAATAAGTCTGGTGGGCTCACTGTATAAGATCCTAGCTAAGGTACTTACTAGTAGATCGAAGGCTGTCTTACCTAAAGTTATCAGTGAAGCACAGTCAGCATTTTTGGGTGGTAGAAATATACTTGATGGAGTCTTGATTGCCATTGAGGTAATGGACTGTTGGAAGAATATAGACGTCCCCGAACGCCTCGGGAGGGAATCCCGTTCTGTTCATTTGGGCTCACTATAGTTCAGGACCCAAATTTGTCATGGTTCTAAATTTGAACCAAAGAGTCCAAATCCGGCAAATCGTTTTTGAAAACAGATTTTTTGTAAAGAAGCTCCAAACATGGACTGCTTTTCCAGATATAGAGTCGCCACCTAAATATTTTATTGGGGAAATTTAGGAAACCCTGACTCGTTTGCCTAAGGCCACGTGTCTGTCATCACCAAAGTTGCCTCGACTCGGGAACTTGGGTACGATTGGGGAAGGTCAGCTATGAGCACCCCCTCTCGCCCGATCAAAGATCGGCCTCTACTAACCATGATATCTAGTTTTGAAAACATTATGCGTTTTTATTCCGATTAATTAGCTAATCTTACTATGTGATGCGCACAACACAAAAGTATAGACTAGATCGCCTAATTTGGAACAAAGCATCGCATATCCGTTTGTTTGGAAATTGGTTTGAAATTTGCTACTCGCAA